GTATATGAGTGTTGTAAGATCTAAGTTACAACTCGTTGGAACTGCCGCTATGTTTATCGCGGCGTGAGTTTGCTTTTTGAGAAAAATCTCAGACACAAATTTTATTAATAATAAACTGCCCGATATTTCAATTTTTGTATATCTTTTTAACAGGAAATACGAGGAGATTTATCCGCCCGATGTAGGAGAATTTGTATATATCACAGATGATACGTATTCAAAGAACCAAGTGATAAAAATGGAGAACTTGATATTGAGGGTTTTGTCGTTCGATCTAACTGTGCCGACGCATTACACATTCCTTTTGGAGTACTGTATCAGCAACAACTTGTCGGATAAGATAAAATTTTTGGCGATGGTAAGTTTTAATAGATATAGATCTATTATCCATCTGAATCCTCGAAAGTCTATAATTTTCTATTTTTCTTTTTTTTCTCTTCTCCGTTTTTTAACTATTAATATGTTTCACGTATTGTTTCAGTACTTGTGCGAGTTGTCGATGCTTGAAGGAGATCCATACTTACAGTATTTGCCCAGTCATTTAGCTGCGTCCGCGGTAGCACTAGCACGACATACGTTACATGAAGAAATCTGGCCACACGAACTGGAACTGTCAACGGGATACGACTTGAAAACTCTTAAGGAATGTATTGCATATCTGAGCAGAACCTTCTCCAATGCTCCAAACACCCAGCAAACAGCAATACAGGAGAAGTACAGAAGCAGCAAGTAAGTAGTAATATTAAAAATTATACGACACGTAATTGTGTGACACGATCTAATAATATAATATTATAATTATATGCCTAAACATGTATATTTTTATAAAACGTACATTTTTTCTTTTCTTATCGTAATCTCGCAGAGAAATTACATTTCTCTTGTAGATTTTAATGAAACCATTTTTCCGTAGATACGGTCATGTATCCTTGCTGTTGCCTCGTAGTACCGAGGCAGTATCGTGCGAGGATGAAGATGAAGAAGAAAGCGCTTAGTAAAGATATTGTCAGACAGACACGGATTAAAATAACTTTTTTTCTGTGTTTAAATTGGTAATTGAATAACGAACCTCCCATAACAGCCTGTACACTGAAAATGAAGGAGGGGATCAGGGCAAGACTGACCTGCCATTCCTACAAAATGGAAGGAAAGCGTACGGTTTATTTCTTTCTGTTAACTCATTGCACTCTGGTCGGTACATTTTGTACAAGAGCAAAATGGTACCTGACTCTCCTACCTTCGTCGCACATTATCTTGTATCATCGTCTTCATACTCTTTAAGTCACGGCTTAACGAAAATTTTAATAGTTATTTTAGAGTTTCGTCATATCAAATACATGAAACTCTAGCAAGAGAAAGGAAGAGAGAGCGAGATAATACATTATCTAGAAATTGTATTTTTATAAGTACTTTTTAGAGGATTGTTAAAACAACAAACGCTTTTGTCGCGATACATGCAAACGGCTAAAAATTCGATTGCAAGTAAACCGCCCCAATAATAAGATTCGATAAGCAAAAAAGCGATTTTGTATTTATTATTATCGTTTTACCGTTAGGTGCACCACCAATTAACGATAAAAACGACGATACTCTATTTGGGATGATATTTCCGCGAAATTAATTTGCAATTATTTCGATCAATTTTTCAGTCCTTGTACAGTTATTTATTTACAACATTCTAGGTACCATAATATCAAATGCGTAGTTTGTTTTATTAGAAATAAGGTATCTTTTATATATATATATCCCTGTATTACATTATATACAAGAATATTAGATTATACGCTGCTGTGCAAGATTACATTGTCAATTCTCACTTGGCATAAATCGGTATTGAATTTCTCTACAAGAACCATACGTGCTATTTTTTTTCCAATCATTCATGATGCATGAATGTAATCGCACACTTGCAGTAATTGATATAGTTTCGGTGATACGTACGTTTTCGACCGTATTGACGTGCAATATTGCACAGCACAATTACCGCATTTTAACACAACGCAAAATACCTAGGTGTTCATCAAATTTAACATGCATGAAAGTATGTTCATATGAAATTTTAAATACAGATATAAAAAAATGTTATGGAATCGTATACCATTACGTATTCAGTTCTATGTCAATCGTAAATTATATCGTCTGCTCCTCAGTTTACTATAGCTGGTGTGTGGATTAGAATTTCCCGGAGATTACTGTTGATGAACTGAAAAGATATAAGTGGCTTCTGAAATAGATGAAGATACAGAATAAAATTTGTTGCAGCTTCCTCACATATGTACGTACACAGCATCGAAAATTACGAATAACGTAAAAAAAAAATGTTATTGAAGTTCGAAAGATATATCGTTTCGTAAGGATAAAACTAAATTTCGAAAAGTAGTCCCATTTGGAAAGTTCTAGTTTTAAACCAAGATTTCTCTCCAATGGAATTCGAAAGTTTAAAACGTGATATATGCGGATGTTTTTTATACTATATTTTCATATATATATATATGTGACAGTGCGTTCTATACCACGTTAAAATATAAAATATTCAGAGCCGTATTAATATAAACATTCGGATTTGACGTAACGCAAAATCGTTGTATCAAACGTTTCCGTAGTGAGTTTATAGACGAGAAAGCATGACTAATATAACAATTGTAAATAATAACAAAAATTCATTCTCTTTACGGAAGTCTTGGAAGGAATAAAGAGGAAGAATGAAACACTGGCACAACAATAATTTTTTTTCTCCACTTTTATACTAAAAATGCTTCAACAGAACCCAAAAATGTATTCATAGAGCAACGTTGTTTCTCGTGTCTTCCGCCACTTCTTAAAACCTCAATAGCTATCTTCATACATCGTGTATTATATAGTTATATTTTTTTTGTGTCATATTTTTCCTTTTCTTTATTTATTAGTATTGATTTGTACTCATTCCAATCCGTTTTTTAATTGATATTCTATTAATTAATTTCTTATAAGTCATTCTCGTTTTTTTTCTATTTTAAATATTAGAAAATGATCAGATCCATACAATGATCGTATCCTCTTTTTGACGATACTTTATCGATCCATTTAATATTTCTGATACAAAGATTAGATCCCAATTCGACGATCTGTATTCT